ACCCCCACTGACACCTTCACCCACACCCAAATACACAGTTATACCCCTACTGACACCTTCACCCACACCAAAATTCATAGCTATACCCTCACCCATGTCCGCACCCACACCCAAATCCACAGCTATACTCTCACCCATGTCCTCATCCACACCCAATCCACAGTCATACACTCACCCATACCTTCACCCGCACCCAAACCCACAACTATACCCTTATCCACACCCAAATCCACAGCTATACCCTCACCCATACCTAAATCTACATTCACAAGCTCACCGATGAAAGAGGAATGAAGTCGTGTGTAATCAATGATTATCACAACACATCAACAAAGTGTGCTGTTAAAAAAAAACTTTTTTTCCTACAGGAAATTGTTTGTTGGAATAAAAGACGTGACAAATATTAAATGAAATTAAATAGCTCGAGAAAGTTATTTGAGCCAACACACACCAGACTGAATCAATATAAATCAAATCTAAATTAAGCAATGTAACTGACACATTGAAGTTTTAATTGTTTCAGAAAGATGGCTTGTTGATTAAATCGCCCAGTGTGCTTGTGATCTTAGCTGTCTGTTATTTTCAGGTAAAGTGAAATAAAGGCATGTATAATTCACAAGTTTGGATTATACTGCTTTGCAGCTTACTGAGATTGTCCACGGAGGATTTTAGTCATCTTTGGATGATCTACTCGAAAGACAAAACTCGCACAGAATGCTTCGTCATTAACTACCGTTATTATTGTCGCCCAGTCACTGTAAATACCATTATTGAATCATGCAAGGATGGAAACGCATGGACTTTCGACGAGTTAGAGAAGCTCAACGTGACAACTGAAAAATTGATGGATTGGTTAATACCTTTCCATTTAATCGAACAATACGCTGTTCATTTAGATGATAATGAAAATAGTCGTGCAACTGAAGCAACGATCTGCAATTGTAGTCAAAATCGGATTGGTAGATATTGTGAATACAATTTCAATTCGAGGGTGAGCACGCCTGGTGACTGGTTAGATCTACAGATGATTAACTCGTTTTCAAATAGTCACGAAACACTTACAAGACTCATAGATGGAATCATATGTCCAGGAGCAGATATGTTTCTCGAGTGGCGACATATTTGTGATGGGTTCACTCAGTGTGCAAATGGGGCTGATGAGCTTGATTGTCACCTGCTGGAATTTTTCAAATGTGAAACAGATGAATTTCAGTGTCGCAATGGAATGTGTATTCCAATCGAGTTTGTCTTCGATGCAACGCCTGATTGTATGGATTGGAGTGATGAGCAAGCGCTTGATGTACTCTACAAACGGTACTATCAGTGCACAACACAGTCGACATTCGAGTGCGATGATCGACTGTGTCATAAAGACCAGTTTTCATGTGGAAATGGTGAATGCGTTCCATGGTCAGCAATTCTGAACGGTCAGCAAGAGTGTGATAACTTTCGTGATATTGCCTACATTTGTGAAATATCGAACGTGTCACTGACTCGGCCAGAATGGCCTGGCATCTGTAAACAAACGATGGAACTTGTTCTTCCTTTGACGAACAGTTCAGATTGTCGACAAACTCTTGGACATTTATTACAAACTTATCCTTCCAAGCAATTTAGTGAGCTTGCCGTCATCAATCTCAGAACTCGTTGTGATAATTCCATCCTATATTTCGAACAAAATGCTTTCTTTTCAGGTTTGAAAATGATCTACAATCGCTCTATTATCGAGCGATTCTTCAGCAATCCAAGTAATTCACGCAAACCAATATCGAAGACACCTGATCTATACTATTTCACTGGTACTATCATCTGCAACGAGATACCGTTAAATATATCGGAAAACATCTCGTTCAGTTATGAAGAATTGCAAAAACTCACCTCTTACCCATTTTTTCCACTCTTTCACTTAATTTGTCAAAAAATAATGACTCAATCGTTGAGTAATATGAAAACTGAACATAATTTGGATTCATCAACCACACCATCATTCTATCGATGCAAAAATACATCTGATCGCGTGTCATTGCGTCGAGTCAATGATGGTTATATCGATTGTCTTTATGGTGATGATGAGAGAAATCCCGATTATCCAATGACTCAATTGTTTCGTTATCAATGTCAAACTGTCACATCCCCGTCTCAATATGTCACCTATGCTAAATTAGGTGATGGTGTCGATGACTGCGCCGACGGCAGTGATGAAGTATCCAAAGAGATACGTTGGTCAACCTTCAAATGTGATGCAAGTGATAATTATGCGTGTTGGGCTTTTCAAGGCGATCAGTTCGGAGAGAATCGTCTAAAAGACGCTCGACTTCATTTTCATCGTTATTGTGATTCGATCTGGGATGTAATGGATGGTCGAGACGAAAAGAACTGCTCAGATTGGATATGCGACTCTGATTTGTACAAGTGCAATCGAACAGGACAATGCATCGAGCGAAAATATTTTTGTGATGGTGAATTCGACTGTGATGATGGTGAAGATGAAGTAAATTGTTCTTTACCATGGATACCATGGAATCTCGAAGTAAAATGCAACAAGAGCACTGAATTTTTCTGCATCACTGATGACTATGTGAAGAATCAAAGTTTGAATCGTTCTTGTATTCACCGAAGTCGAGTGGGTGACGAGCATATTGATTGTATTGGAGCTCGTGATGAACGTAATGTTGCATCGTGTCCTGATCATCGGATGGTTGGTGATCGGTTCTTATGCGATAATGGGAGGAAGTGCATTGATTATATGGCAGTATGCAATGGAATCAAAGACTGTGTGGACGAAACTGATGAGTCAATTTGCTATTGGAATACTGGCTATTGTCCTGCTGGCCAGTTTTCTTGTGCGGACCAAAAAGGTTGCAAGAGAACGAGGTGTACAGCAGAAATAACATGCAACGATAAGTCCCATCGTTTCTGGTGTCCGAATTCACCCAGTGAAAATTATGTCTATCGCTCGAGTAAGGATAGATCAGTAATTGATAATAAAAAAAGATGTTACAATCAATTGGAATCCCAAACCAAACTTACAATCGCATCGTCATCCTCAAATCGTCAAGTCAAAGCATTAGCTGACCCATACTTCTACTGTAATCGAGGATTTTATTTGCAAGCAGCCACCAGCTCCGAATTCCTCTGCTTTTGTCCGCCGACTTTTTACGGCGATCGTTGTCAATACAACAGTCGACGAATAAGCATTTTGGTTCGTTTCGATCGAGGGCATCGTCCTGATCTTTCATTTATTTTGAACGTTCTTGTCACACTTGTTCTAAACGGAAGCACAGTAGTCGATCATCGATTTTTTCTTGATGAAGCCAAAGAATACTCATCAAAGTCTTTGACCTATTTAATCTATCCTCGTCCGAAACCCCTGGGTATTTATTCTGTTCGAATTGAGACCTATAATTCTACAAAACTAATCCATTTCTGGGAATATCCTGTCAGTCCACTGGACTTTTTGCCTGTGCTGCGTATTGCCAAAGTACTTCGATTTCCTACTCGTTCATTTCCCTGGTTTTGTTCACACAATTATTGTGAAAACAATGGAACCTGCCATCAACGAGAGGACAACCGATTTCTCTGCATTTGTGTATACGGTTGGAAAGGTAAACTGTGCGAGATGAGAACTGAGCACATTCATTGTGCATCACATTCACTGGCACGAACAGAAACTATCTGTGTTTGTCCGCAAGGCTACCTCGAACCTTACTGTTACGTTCAGAATCAACAATGTCAACAACACAACTGTGAACGAAATAAAACTTGCATTCCACGATCACATCCTCCTATCTATGGATATACTTGTATCTGTAACACATCTAAATGTGATATTAACAGAGCAGTAATTAGTCTTCATCGACAAGAGTCAAATCAATCACCATTTCTTTTACAACTACTCCAGCTTACAGGAGACTATCCGACGATTCGTCAACAAATTCTCGTTCAGCCACTAACCTCGTTTCCATTGATTCAAACGATTAAAACTCGTGATGGTACCTATGAAATTGGAGAACAACCTGAAATCGGATTACTCTTTACTTTTGAATCAAACGCACATTCAATCGAGAGTACATTATATTTGCTCTTTATCAATTGTTCTAATGCTATGCGAAACTTTTCCGTTGATCTTGACCAACAACTAAATAAATGTCATGTTTTACCCGAAAATCAAAAACATGCTGTCGCCTTGTTTGGCAATTTTTGCCAAAGTTTTACCTATGGTACTTGCTTTATATCTGATGGATATCTCTGTTATTGTGGTTATCCGAATAAAAATCATAGTAATTGTCTTTCTTATCAACGACGATACACGGTATGTAGCTATTGTCAAAATCAAGGGCACTGTGTTCAAGGTGATCTAAGAAATAGAACTGATTTTACTTGTGTGTGTCCAAAATGTGTCACAGGTGTGCTATGCCAGTTTTCACCTAGTCGTTTCTCCATCTCTCTAGAATTTCTCATTGAGAAAACAGACTGGGGTCGCGGACATTTTATCGCACCGATAATTCTTTTCATCATCGGAATGTTCTTTAACTGTCTGTCCATCATCACTTTCTCACAACGAAAACTTCGTCATAACGAAATAGCTCTTCATCTTTTGGCAACGTCAGTGTTTAGTCTGTTGGTGCTGTTATTGTTGCTTGTACGCGTCAGTTATCTGTATATGATACGACGTATTATAATCTTGCATGGAATAAATACAGTGGTATGCAAGAGTCTGCCCATGCTCATGTCCACTTTCTACTATGTCACTTTGTGGTTAATGGCTATAGTTACAGTTCAAAGGGCATTGGCTGCAGTGCAATATTCTCGATGGTCTTCATTACAAGAGCCAAAGAAAGCAGTTTCATTGATCTTGGGAATTGTATTGATTGTTTCAAGTTCGAATTACATATTTATCACCCAATACAAATTAGTCAATCATCCCGATTATTCATTTCCTTGGTGTATTCGTGAAATTCCACCGAATGAGCAAGTATTAGCGCAAGTTTTGGCTTTGATTCATCAGGCACTTCCTTTCCTGATTAACATTACCGCAGCATTAATCATCATTTTGACAATCACTCGATCGAAGGTACATGCTCATGGAAAAACTACACACAATGCTCTGATCGATGAAACACGCAAACTAATCGATCTTCTGCTGGGCCCGATTGCTTGTTTTATAGCACAGTTAGCTGAAATCGTGATACTTTTTCTAAATGCTTGTGATTATGATGCTAACGCATGGTTCTCCAAAATTACTCTACTTAGCTACTACATCTCGTTCACACCACAAACCAGTATTTTCTTTCTTTATATTGTACCCTCGACACAGTATTATAATATATTTGTGAAAGAAACCTGTTTGGGTAAATATCTATCAAATATGATAAAATCATCGATCGTTCTCTTCAACTGGAAACGCTAAGAAATGCAACTGTAATGGTCCAGATGATCGCTTTTACAACATGAAAACTAGAATATTCGGTGTGGGTATGGGTGTGGATGTAAATGCATCTTGTGTATCTTACTTCTGCACACACCCAAACCCTCACTCACACCCACCCACCCACATCAAATTTTTTTGTTGTACTTATTATTGTTTTATATCGTATTCTTGTTGATATTTTTATTATTGACCCAACTTCAAATATACTTATTTTATTTTACTCGAACATTGGCCATTTGTTTTATTGTAGTTGCACGGATGGATAGATTTTCCCACAATTCATTAAATATTACACTTCGTACTTTAAGTACAGTTAAATTTGTTCGACGAACTATATGTACTTGCACAATACTTCATATTTTTGCCGAGGGATGGGTGCGGGTGTTTCATTCATCTTTCACTCACATCCCACACCCACACCCAACCGCGATGGACATCTCCGACCAATATGTTGAAATGAATCAGCTAATCATACATGCTGATCACTAATATTCAATACTTCAAATGCAATACGAGCAAATATCAAACTTTCACCTCTTCGAACACTACGTTCAAGAAAATCATCATCAACTTCATGAGTAATATAAGTCCTAATATCTAATCTATAATATAATATACGAGTTCTTTTTTCAGTTTGAGAGCTTTCATATGATTGGTTGCAAAACGATAAAAAGCATACATATCACCCTCACCCATCATCATGAAAACTTCGATTTGACATTGAAAACCACACTAATACTTCTATTTACTTAAGTATATAGAATGAAGAAAAGTGTTTGTAGAATATGTATTTGCAAAAAAAAAGAAAATCTGAAGCGTATATAACAGAAAAGAAGCGAAGTAAAACAGATAAAAGTGAAGTAGCTACGAATTTATAGATAAAGTTCATGACAATCTTTCTTGTTTGTAAAAATGCGACAACATTATACAAATACATCTCTCTTTACGTAATATAAATCTTAGTCACTAAAGCCACAACTGATCTTACTAAGACAATAATAATCAGGATAGTAATTATCATAAACACAACAATAATCAGTAGTATTACAAGAACCAGTAAAACGACTACTAGCAGGATTACAAAAACCAAAACCAGCAGGATCATAATACTGACCAGCACAATAGGTAGAGGTACTACGACAGTAATAACTACCACCATCATCACAATAAAGAGAACAAGTCGTAGTATTAGCGGAAGAATTAAAACTACCAGTACAAGTACTAGCACAGTAAACAGCAGTAGTAGTCGTCGTTGATGCTAAATAGAAAATTGAAATAGTCGATATGCAATAATTTTTTTTGCCTAAAAAAGAACGATTTGGGACATCTAAAAAAAGAAAATTTGTAAGGTGGGTGGGTAGGTGTGGCTGTGAGTATGCTATTATATACATCCTACACCATCCTCAAATATTAACTAGAGTTAGCAGTCTTTTGTTGCCTGCAGAGATATCAGATGAGTTCTTATCGTACCTGCTGTTGATGAAGATGACGATGGCAATGTTGTTGTAGACGGTGTGTTTGATGAAGTAGCAATTGAAGTTGACGTAGATAAGCTACTTGGTAAGCTAGACGATGATGCTGTCACAACTAAAAATATGAATTTAACATATATAAAAAACTGGAAAAAGAATTTATCTATATGTACATTTTATGTTAAGGATGTAAATGTGAGTATTATAATTATCATCTAATCACTCCTATACTTGGATCAAATCACACTCTGACCATGCTTGTTTGTTAAAATTCTATGCATAAATCTAAGGTTTTGAGTAGAACTAACTCTATTTATGCATAAACACCAAATGAACATTTTCTAATTTGATTTAACGACAAAAATGAGATTATCAATGAACTATTCTTTTGAAAAACTACTTTTTACAATGACAACTAGAGAATGATATATGTAATATATTATCATTTGTGTCTCATCATAGATTATTATTGAACCAAAAACTGTATTCAATTATCGTTTTATTCTATGTGATAAACAAAAAGAAAAAATAATCAACATGAAAACAATAATTTTAATTATTCCATACTTGATGTTTCCGTTGCTGTTGTTTTTGAGGTCAACCAGAATGTGAGTACAATAGCTAAACCTATTCCAGGTAGTAATGATGCAATAATACAGCATCTAAAACACCAATACCAGGCAAACGACGTCTTCTTTTGATCAATTCTGTGATTAAAATATAAGATATACAAACATCTTGAAATCGATATTGTACTTGCTGATTATTATTATTAGCATCATCTGTCCAGACAATGCGTTCGGCTGATGATTGACTTCAATGTGTGGTCGATGGTGGATCCGATGACCAGTCGGAGTATTGTGCATTCGCCATAATGTGTAATGTCATTGGCTTGGTAGCTGATTTCGATCTAAATTAAATAAAGTAAATATATGTATGTTTTATATAATAAAACTAATCAATAATAACCTTATTTCAACGGATTCGGACATATAATGTAAATTTTGTATTTTGAGTACACGAATTCATCATTTTAATCAAAAGTTTGGCCTCCAGAAGAGAAAAAGAAGTGTAACAGAATACGTGCTCGATTGAAAAATTCATTGTGTATTAGAGACGGGCGAGTTGTATGTCAATAGTGGAAGAGAAGTGAAAATAAAATGGTTTTCCTATATCAATTAAATTCACAAGGCGATAACCAACGTGAGTTCAGAATTTCTAACTAGTTTAACTTTTCTAATTTTGTTAAATAGAAGTTCTTGATATAGTATCAAATGAAATATTGATAGTCATGAAAATTTTGATATTTATTAAATACCGATTCGGTTCAATTCTAGATTTCAAGATTTTACCTCTTCTAACTAAGTTATGAATATCTCTAAATTTCTTGTATAACGAATTGATTGTATTCTTTTATTGAGCATATACTAAATCTGCAATATAGAACTAAAAAAATTGAAGCGTATATTTTCATGTTTTTGTGTCATTTTTCATTTCTTTATTGTTGCTCATGAATTAAAAAACAGTATGTATAAGGTTTATAATCAAATATTCTATTCGCTTGTCGAATGAAAAATTCTTATAATTGTGGAATTTGAATTATGATTAAAATGATAATGAATCTATAATAAGATCATCAGTTATTAAGTCAGATGCATTCTATTGGTTTCCATTAGATTTTGATTATTTGAATTTGGTTGCAAATAATTATTTTATATATTTAATTGAAAAAATTCCACATTGAGGAAAAAAAACATTTCTTTTATACATTTGAAACAATATTCGAATATATAATAATAAACTTTCATTTTATTTTATCCTGATTGATATGAGAAAATCTATTAATGAAAAATAATCGATAAATTTTTGTTATTAATGACTTATGATTTTATTTTGAATTTAATAATACTTGAATATTGCATACGAAAATTTTCCGCTTCATATAAACAACTGAAAGAGCAGGTATAGGTCAAATGGAGCAGTTGTAATCCAGTAATAAAATGACAAAAAGCATATTTCTTTTATATTCGAAATATTTACTGAAAAATATAAAAATAATAACAAATTTTGTAATTGATTTTCTTTTCTTTTTTAAAGAAAATCATCTTCAATTTATTGATTCATCATGAGAAAGAATATTTACAAAAAATAATTATATAACAGTCAATCATCCTCGACTATCATACCAATCGCAGCATGATTTTTCATCAACATATGTTTCACATTGTACATCCATAATGATAACCATTTGAAAGGAATTTTCTAAAATATTTTCTGTTATTCAATGAAAAAGAACTAAGATAATGAGTAACTCACTTGTTTTTGAATATTTATCATAGAATCATAACCCACAATATTTGTATCATAATAAAGCCAAAAAGAGATGAAAATACCAATTATGATTCCAAGAATTGCCAAACAAATATGATAAATTTGTCCGGCGTAAGATATCTATTTATGACAAAGAAACAGATTGTATTTCAGTCGATATGATAAAAAAGAAAACATACTGGGGCAAGGCCACTAAGACTAAGATAAAGCAAAACAGCAGCAAATTCGAATGGTATCACAGCTAGAAACCAGTCATAATTGGTTTTGATAAACCTTATCTAGTTTGACGAATCACACAATTTATATTTGAATTTCGATAAATAATATACTCACCCTTTTTGTTCCCACTGATGCTGGATCGACTAGTAGATATTTAGGCCAACCAAAACCAAGAATACTGAATGCCATTATAAAGAACATCTCGAAGAGCCATACGAAACTTGCGCCAATATTCTTCATAGTCTGAGTACAAGATATGTGAATATATAGAAAATTTTATTTTTGATGAAAATCTTTAGGAAACTTACATAGAAACTGTAAATGCAATCGAAGATATGTATGCTGCTTATCAGAATGAATGGGATACACATAATAGGTAAAAATCGATATGGGACTGTAATGATGTTTCTCTAAAAGATCAACAGATTTTTATTTTTAATGTTGTTTTACATAAAAGATTCATCGTACAGGCAGCTATTCTTAAAATTAATTGTTAAGTTCGAATGTGTTTGTTAAATACTTACGTTTGTTGTTGCAGGTTGCTGTATGACGGGTGCAAAACGATCAGAAATGACATAATCAGAGTTTTTCTCAACACACATAATGCTACGTAAGATATCAATCTTCTTACACTAGAATTCGTGCTATTCACACGCATGAAGCATGCATACTTATATATATGTATTGCAAACAATGTCCGTCATTCGAGTATAGCTATTATGCTAAAAAGAAAGGTCATGAAGTCATATAGAGGTCAAAAGAGGGTGTGAGTGTAGATAAATGATATCGACATTTGCATTCTAACTATCGCCTATATATACACGCCGTCAACAACGATAAACTAATTATTAGTGTTTTATGTAAAGCTAAATATTGATTTTATAGAAGAATTTGAAGCCACTTTGTTAGACATTATGATGACATATTTTTAATCATTGATGCTATTGATTTGTTTCAATTTTAACGTTATATACTATTACATAGTATTTCAAAGCTTAGTTTTATAATACTTCTTTTATACTTATTATCAATAACAATACGCCATTCTATCTTTTGTTTGCAAGACATTTTGCTTCATGTTGTCGTTATATTTGCTACGTTGACTATTGTTCAAAATGTTCTTAATTATGATGAGGGAAAAGCTAGTTATATAAATGCTGGTCAAATACATTTAATTAGTGGAGCAGTTACAGCTCAATGAAAACAAGATATACTCTATTTATTTTTACTTGTTCAATTAGCTACTAATTCTGAAATATCTCGACCAT